TGGGAAGGACCGCGGTCTCCCGGAGCAACTGTCAATCCAGGTGCCACGGGGGGTGCGGGGTGCGAGGAGAGGTGCGACCCGGAATGGGACACGCACGCACAGCTCCAGCCTTGTCTCGGACGACCGTGTGTGTGTGTGTGTGTGTGTGTGTGTGTGTGTGTGCGCGCGCGCGCGCGCGCGTGCGTGCATGCTGGGCACAGGACAGTGTTGGGAAAACGCTGACTTTTAAAAACACACCTATTGCTAAAGTGTGACCTTTCCCGTAACCCTCAAACACGGTAGTGGAAGAATGTGATTGCCAGCAGTGCCAGTGCCGGTGAGGACCGTTTGCATTGAGCACATCTGTGCACCCGCGCTGCGGGTCTTACAGCTGCAGACAGGCGTCCTGCGTTGTGTAATGAGTACGTGAGCCACGCGAGGGTATCTGGATTGGTTAAAATGAAGAGTCAGGGTTCTCTGCCTCGCTAGTTGTGTCTCCCAAGTGTTGAGTCACCACAGAGGACTTGTGTGTACCATGTTGGACGGCCTTCCATAGAAAAATCAGCCACGCCAGTCAGTTCTGTTAGCGCTAGGGCAGACATGCAAGTGAGGATATAGCTTAGGTGTTTTTCCTCGGGCTGGAAAACTATGATTGTTTTGGACTTGGTACTTGAAATTAAAGATCACAGTGGTACTCAGAATCTTCTCTTGCTCACAAAACAGTCAGTTGACTAGTTGACCGCTAAAGGAAACTGGAAACAAACAAACAAACAAACAAACTTGGATTTAGATTTAAGAAAATCTACCGAGTTGGTGCCTTTGTATTCGGAATGGAAAACAGACATGTTGTTTCTGACAGTTCAGAGGTTTGTGACCAGCCACGTCATGCCTTCCAGCGGTGGTGGTGGTCATGGCGGCAGAGTACTTTCTGGTTAAGTGTGCCAGACAGAACATCCACCTGTCTTCGAATGGGGTCTAAAGTACTGTATACACTCTGAATATCATCGTTCGTCTCCCCACCATCCGTTCCGTTTGCTCTTTGGACAGCGACGGACTGGTCATCGGTGCGGAGTGTGGAGTTTTACAGAGTCCTGGGCCTTCTGGAAAAGAGATGGAAGGAAGCACACCACAAGGCTGCAAGACCAAATTGCCTACAGTTAACACCCCATCCTGTGCTGTCCAGCTTAAAGTCTGTGCAGATGTTAGAGCTCCCTATTGAAGTACCTCAGTTATAAAATGGGGTGGTAGTTCACAGGGCATCAGTCAAGGGTAAATACTGGAATAACTCAGTGGGTACCACCCCTGCTCACCTTTGGGTACTCTAGTGCTCCGTTCTTAGACTTTTTCTTCTCTCTTTCAGTGATCTCTTTCCATCGTGTGGCTTCACCTATTGCCTATGCCCTGACAGCCCTTGGCGTTTATTTAGTCTAGACATAAGCCGGATGTTTATGGATTCTCCAATTGCATGCCAGTTACTTCCTTTGGATATTTAGTAGCCACCTAAAACTGAACATCTGTTCACTCCTAAGGAGTCTTCCTCATTCAAGTTAATGAAAATACCGACTTAGTCACTCGATCTAGAAATCTGACATCATCCTGTAGATCGATGTCATACCTCATCTCTAATCCAGTAACAAATGAAGTGACCTCACCCTCATCGTGTATCTAAAATGAGGAGAACAGTGGTTTAAAAGCAACAGTCTCCTTAATACCACCCCTCAAAACCCTCCATATGGCTTCTCTGTTCCTCAGTAGTAAAAGCCAGCGTCCTCAAGTCTTAGGAGTGCAGACGTCATCAGATCTTGCTTTTTTGAAGGATAAATGTCCATGGGAGTGTGTCTTGATCTTGTTCTCTGCGTCTTGGGGCACTTTCTTAGGTGGTTCCCTTCAGCTGGACCCTTGCTCACCATTAACTGGGCTGTGTACTTAATGTTCTGTAAAGAGGCCCCTAGCTTTTCCTCAGTGCAGCGGTCATTCTCCTCAGCTGGTTCAGAGGCTAGTCCATCTGCTTCAAGTCCTGCAAAGGCATGAGATCTCAAGTGCTAGGAATAAAGGTGTGTGCCACCACTGCTTGGCTCTGCTCTGAATAAAGGTGTGTGCTACCACTGCCTGGCTCTGTTTCTCTCCCAGACTGAATCAATCTCATGTAGTCCAGGGTGGCTTTGAACTCACAGAGATCCCTATGGATCTCTGCCTCTCCAGTGCTAGGATTAATGGCATGTGTGCTACCACTGCCTGGCTTCTATGTTTAATCTAGTGGCTTGTTCTGTTCTCTGATCTTCAGGCAAAGCTTATTAGGGTACATAATATATCCCTTACCATGAATGTTTCTAAGCTCTTGCAAACATGAACATTTCTGAAAAGATTCTTTGGATCTCACTTCAGTGTAATGTGAGACGGACCACCAGGTTTCTGCAGGTCAGCGAGCATCTCATGGGGCTGAGCACTCCTAGGCCTCTGCCTCGGTGGGGATGAGTAGAAGCACAGCCTCTGCGCCTTAATTCCTGCAAGCATAGTAAGTGCATTATATCCCCAGGAAGGTGAAAACTCCATTCAGTAGCTTAATTATAGTTAACAGCCTGGTGCCGAATCAGTTTGACTTCATCTCAGGGTGTGGAAGCTCTGGCCCATGGTTCTTGGGTCTGGGCTTTGATGTAGCCGTGACAGTCCCAGTTCTTATTTTGCTACTCAGTTCCCCAGTATTAACATTTTCTCCCTTTTTGATCGATCATTTAACCTGGGGCTAATGGGGGGAAAGATGTTTAGATTTAAAGCACCTTCTATGAAGTCCGGCCTAAATGAGACTCTTAAAATCTGCTTCACTTGGGTTCATTAAATAATTAATGTAGTGATTGGATAGTTTCAGGACTTTGGGGCTCACAAGGATAATAAGCTTGCTTATTTATTTATCATTTATTATTATGTATTCCTTCTCGATGGGCTGATCTTGGATTCTGGATCCTCTTGGGCTCAGCCTCCTAAGTGCTTAAGATTACAGGCACGTGCTACCACAGCTAGCTTATAAAAATGAATTGGGGGGCGGGGAGGCAGGAAAAGCAGCTCAGTGTCATCCTCAGCTACAGAAGGAGTTCAAGGCCACCCAAGACTACATGAGACCTTGTCTCAAAGAAACAAAATAAAAACCAGCCAGCAAGATGGCTCAGTGGGTACAGGGGCTTGTTGTCACACTGGACAGCCTGAGTTCGGTCCCCGAGACTCACGTGGTGGAAGAAGAGAACCCCTCCTGCAGGCTGTCCTCTGACCCCCACACACGCGGGCGGGCGCCCACAAAAATGATGTTTAAAAACAATAACACAAAGTAACAGACAAACCCTTCCAGATCCAAGCTGCTTATGCTAAGACAGTTTTGTGTACTAACCCTGGGTGTGCAGAAGGTAATGGCAAAATCCATAAGAAGTCACCCTAAGAGCCCCTCGGAACATATTTAAAACATGCATAGCAAGCTACTAATATACACACGTAACACGATTAATGAAATAGACCTAGTAGGGAGTTGAACATTATAGTGAGAAAATTGTCAAAGGACACAAATATAGTTCACAAAAATAAAAAATAAAATTGCCAGCAGACAGAAAAATGTTTAACTTAATTTGAAGTAAAATATGCAAATCAAATCAAGAGCATTGCATAATCTTATCCTATCCGAAATTTTAAAAATTAGCCATTATCATTGAGGCTAAGTAAGAGTTTGAAAAACAGTGCATTCTTACATATTTCTTTTTCTTTTTTCTTTCTTTCATTCTTGTATATTTCTAGTGCAGGTTTTACTGTTATGTCCAGTGGTATTTTACTGATGTCTAAAAACTATTAGGCAAATCTGTATTGATAGTCATGCCTTTCAGCATATTTTAATTGATTTATTTTTATTTTATGTGCATTGGTGTTTACCTGTGTGTATGTTTGTATGAGGGTCCCATGGAACTGGAGTTACAGATGGTTGTGAGCTGTCATGTGTGTGCTGGGAATTGAACCCAGGGCCTCTGAAAGAGCAGCCAGTGCTTTTAACTGCTAAGGCATTTCTCCAGCCCCCTTTTAGCATATTTTTAAGGGAAAATTATATCTCAGCCAATGGTTGCTTAGTAGAGAAGAAAAGAATATTTTCTTATACACATAATTACATATGTGTATGTGTATTAACTCTGAACTGCTAGCCACCTAATTTTTAATTATTTCTAATACTGGTGAACTTAGGATATTTTTCTTTGTATCTTTGTACATAAATTTTTGTAGTAGTCTATTTATTAAAAAATAGGAAAAATGTACATATCACTCAATACTCAAATTGAGAAAAGTTTCAAAGTGTAAGTCTCTTACCTTTTTACCTCTAGCCTCCTAGTACTCAGGGAGCTGAGACAGGACAATCACAGCCTGGGCCATATAGCGATACTCTGTCTCAAAAAAAAAAAAATCACCATTAGTAAAAATAAAAGTAAAATACATATATATTATATGGTCAAAACAAAAATATATTATTAATTTATATAGAATGCATCTAAACAAATAAAATCAATGTACAAAAGGCAAACGGTATGGACAGACAAGAGCAAAAATCTTAATAGTAATAAGTAAATGAACAAAATTTCAATGTCATCCTAATTTTAATACATCTAAATTTGAGCTAGCCCATGCCTGTGAAATTGAACAAATTAAAAAGAAAACCATGGAAGACAATTTTATAGTCTCTATCACCAGTTTTAAATTGTGATTATTTAGATTTTCTAGTTTTCGCACTTCTAGGAATTTTAGAATGTAGGTACAGATGTGCACTAAGATTTTCTGTGACGATGCTCCAGCTCTGTAGCAAAAACGAAGTCAGGCACAGCAGTCAGCTTGCTAGCAGAATCCACGTGCCTGTGGTAGATTTCATTACAGATGTGCGGGACAGCAGCTCAGTGAGAAGGAAATATTTTTACATTATGATCTGTAGTGAATCAAATTTATATTTATATTTTCAGTAGAATTAGGGAACTTCATTACATGTGTACCAAATAAAAATTATGAATAATTTGTAAAACTAAAATTTATTTTTTTAATTGTTTTATTCAGAAATTCTTAATACTTAGAATATTTTATTACCCTGTCTCTTAATGAAGTTTAGGCTGAGTGAAATGTTTCACTCAAAATCTTAGAGCCAGAAAGTGATAACAGGTATTAGGTTTTATTTCGAGTATATAAACTATAGGTCATCAAAACTTCCTCAATAATACTGTAAAGCTTTTTATAGGTAAATACACTTGTAATGCTTATTCCTTCTCTTTTCAGAATTACCACGAAATTATGACTCGTCATCCTGAGAATTATCAGTGGGAAAATTGGAGTCTAGAAAACATTGCCACCATCCTAGCCCACCGTTTCCCCAATAGTCACATTTGGGTAATAAAGTGTTCCCGGATGCACTTGCACAAGTTCAGCTGCTATGACAACTTTGTGAAGAGCAACATGTTCGGCGCGCCAGAGCACACCCCGGACTTTGGAGCCTTTAAGCACTTGTATATGCTATTAGTTCATGCTTTTAGCTTAACTCAGAACGGTTTGCTATCCAAGAGCAGGAGTGTTTGCAATAAGGATTGTAAAGCATCCAACTGTGAGTCTAATTCTTCTACTAGTAATGGTGGCCAGGAGGACAAAGAGAGGACCTGTGAAAACCTGGAGGAGTCTGCCGGGAGTCCGCCTCCGCTCTCACTGAGCGCTGCATCGTTTACTCTGGTGGGATTCAGTAAAGGCTGTGTTGTTTTGAATCAGTTGCTGTTTGAGTTGAAGGAAGCCAAGAAAGACAAGAACTTAAACACTTTCATCAAAAGTATAAGAACGATGTACTGGCTGGATGGCGGTCATTCTGGAGGAAGCAATACTTGGGTCACGTATCCAGAAGTCTTGAAAGAGTTTGCTCAAACGGGGATTACTGTTCACACTCATGTAACACCTTATCAAGTACATGATCCAATGAGATCCTGGATTGGAAAGGAGCACAAGAAATTTGTTCAGATACTTGGGGATTTGGGTATGCAGGTGACTAGCCAAATTCATTTTGTGAAGGAAACTCCCTCCATAGAGAATCACTTCAGGGTTCATGAAGTGTTCTGAGACTTCATGTGCTTGCTTAAGTGGGAGAACCAAGGACTTCGTTAAAACACAGATGATGAGATGTAAGAGTAATTAGATGCATTGTCAGTTTGTGGGCTAAGAAGATGCACATTCCAAAAATATGTGTCATATACAGTAGGATTCCTTGCTTGTAAATGTGCGCAGCTTTAAATTTTGATTGGATTAGAATTAATTTGAAGTCTAGAAGGATAGTTTGTGATAATCCTATGTCCTTTAAAAATCAAAGAAACTTGGTGTTAGTCTTTTTAAAAGGTAATAAAATTGGTGTTGGAAATAGCTGATTTTCTGAGAGCTGTTTTAAACTAACATTCAGCTGTTGGCTACAGTCATTTCACCTCTTTCTCTGTCCAGGGTTCTTAGGGGGACATTTGCACCCTGCAACCTGCCTCCTGGGAAAGTTTGGACTCACTCCCTTGGACTCATTCACAGTGTTCTACCAAGTGTTTGTTTTGTTTTGTTTTTTAAAGTCAAAATATATTTATTCCCTCATTTAAGATCGTAAGATTGTGTAGTTGGATTTTTAAAACATATTACACTAAGCGCTGTAACTTAATTCTTAATTGACAGTTTTTAATTATCTGTTAGTGTGCTCTCAAAAGGAACCAGATTCCACAGACCTAAATCAGCGTTTCTTCAGAAGCATGGTTTTGTCTGCCAAGAGAAAATAGCTTTCTTTGGCCAAATGTAAAATTACATTGAGATAAGAAAGGTTACAAAGGAAAGTTTGAAGACACAAATAATTTAAATTTTGGCCCAGAAACTGAATTTGCTTAACACTGCTACATAATTTGGGTGAAGTTTCCTTCTGCCCATTTTTCTTCACTAGATAAATGCATTTTGAAAAACCAAAATCTAACGAATTTCAAACAATATTGGAACAAAGCTGGGTAGTTATAAAAGTGGCACTTTTTATTTATGAATAAATAAATGAAGCTTTCTAGGTCATGGAATAACCAAACATGGAAATAACATGCTGTTTTGGGATCAAAAAGAAAATGTATACTGAAGATTAGTATCTTAGTGTATGCAAAGTGTTAATTTCTTGGTTTCTTCCAAAATTACATTTTAATCATCCTATAAATATATTTCCAATATTCGCTCATGAGAAAGGATTCCTTCACACCAGATGTTTAAAATGAACGTGGTTCTATCAACTACAGATCAGTGTCTGTACGTTTGTTTTTTCTAAATAGTTTTATATTGTTTCTCTTTGAATATGTTTTAAGACCAGCACTTCCCATTGTAGAAACAAGTCACCTGGCTTCTTTCTACCTCATTGTGCATTTCCTTAACTTTAAGCACTAGGATTGGATGGCTACATTCAATTTGTTTAATGGTTGTCAAATGTATCACTTAATGTAAAACAGCTGAATTCCTGAGTGGTCATACAGAGGGAAGGCATTTGTTTTCACAGGAGTAACTCAAGTGGAAAGAGGTTTTTTGTTTTTTTTTAAGAATTCATTTTAAATGTCTGAGTTAGTTCCTCACCTCGCCGTTCATGTGAATGTTCAGTTGTTACATGTTAAAGTGGACACTAATCCAAGGGACACCGGAAACTGCCATCGCTTCTGGAAATAGTGTTGAATAATACAAATACTTTGGAGTGGAAATGATTGTTAACTCACACACAGGTATTTCTGTGTAATACTACAAATTGGTCCTTTCCCACATTTCTTTAAAATTGTGTATGTTAAATTTGTTATTGTAAACGTGTGTCCTACTTGATTGTGCCTTTGTATAGAGTCACTGGAGAAGTGGTCTTGCAAATGGAAAATTGTTACCACCACAGCATGAACGTCTTAACTGTATTAAAAATAATAATCCATAGAAATGGTGTTTGGATTTGTTTCTCTCTTAGACCATTGGAAAGGAAACTGTACACCTTGCCATTTTGTGTGTCTGCTTTTACTTCCCTGTCTTTCAAGTGAACAACTTTCCTTTTCATTGAGTACTCCTGTGTCAATTATTCCATAACTGCCAGCATTATACTCATTTCTGCTGTTGAGTTCCTAGAGGAAGTCCCTAAAAACCCCTCCTTTTTCTTTGCTGACGTCTTAGCTGTCTATACTCCTTTATCCCCATAAAAGACCGTTGGAGTATAATGATTTATTTCATTTCATTTATGCAGTGTCCAAGCACCCCCTGTATAAGGAGAATCTAAGCAACAAGGATTTAACTCAAGTCTCCCCACGTTAGCAGAGAAATACCCAACAACCTAGAACTTAGGAACACCTGAAACAAAGTATTGTATCTCATGTGAAGGCCTTTTAAACATGAATTAAGGAATAAGGGATAAGTGGTCTCAGCTGTGACTCACAAGGCTTTAACTGAAGTGGGCCTCGCAGTCTGAGTCAGTGGTGGGGACAGGTACTCAGGAGTCATTTTAGCCTCATGGTATGTTTAAGATGCCCATTGACGACTTCTACGTTTGAAACAAGGTTAACACCAGAGTGCCAGCCTGTCAGTCCCTCCTGCCCCATCTGTTTCCTAACACTGGAGGAAGGAGCCATGTGGGCACAGTCCCAAATTCTTACAACCTGCCTTTCACCTCCCTGAAATGACCCACCCTACTCCACAACTCCTGAGATTTAGCCTCACCTTTTATAGGCATGAGATATGCCTTGTATTGGGTTCTTTGCAAATGTTCACATAGCTGCTACAAAAGGATAAAAGAAATTTAGCCTTGTTGGCCATCTCTTGGTATTGCATACATTTTGAAATGATGGAATAAGTACTCTTAATGAAATACGCCAAGACAAATATTGTCATGAAAAGCTAATAGTGTTGTGAAATACATTTCTGAACAAAATGTACAAAGCCACAGCTGTATCTCCTGGGACTACTCAGCCCCATCTCAGCAAATGCTATCACTAGGTTGGTTGTGTACCTAGCAGAGCTAATTCTGTCTATGTAAACGTTTCCACAGAGCATACGTTGTACCAATGGCAGCAGAGTTTCCAGGTTTTTGTGTAACTGAACTGGACAGATCCCATGTCAGCTCCTGTAACTGCCAGACTCCTGGGTTGCAGATATTGTGCCGTATTCTGCCGTCTTCCCACTGACTGTCCTCGTTTGTGTCCGTGCCTGTAGATAGTGAGCTGTACAGGAAGTTTTGTTGGGAGGAAACGAGTTTGTTAAGCCTCATGTCAGCTGGAAGAATGGGGTTGGACCAGTATCGTCAACACCACTGTAATCCCAGTTTCTGTGGCAGCTCGTTAACCAGGGCCATCTCTGCAACCCAGGGTGATTAAATAATTTCTAACATTCATTCATTCAATAAAATATTTCAAATCCAATGAATTAGTTAACGTTATGTTCTTCATTTGGCCTTAAAAAATTAAAATATCTTCATTTAAAAATATGACCAAGATTGTCTAAAAACTTCTCCAAGGCTTCACTGCAGTGCCACAAATACACTTCAAGAGGAAGTCTTTAACAAGTCTTAGAAGAATACAGAGTGACTAGCATCAGTCATTATGTGCTGGTCTGTAACTGGCTTTTGTAGTATGTGCTCTAAGTATCAGTTACACTTTCAAGATGAAGACAATACAGATCTTCCAGTTTCCTTCTAGGCTACATAACAAGAATTTTGTGTACGCCATTTTGGTTCCAGTTATAACGTTTCTACATGACCCTCTTTTGGTGCTGTGGTCTGAACCCAGTTATCCATGCTGGGTGAGTGCTCTACCAACCCTCTGTGTGATCTGGTTAGGTTATTCAAAGCTAATTACTGTATGAACTAAGGGTTTACATCTTTTCCTTTCTAAGAAAAATCATTAAGTGTTTGCTAAGGCTAAGAAGTAAAGGTAATAAAATCTGATTAGACCTAGCTAGCATATTAAAACATTTTTCCCAATATACATTTAACCTTTGTTCATCTCAATAATTTATCTTCCAAAGATCCTAAGAAAAGCCATAACTTACATACTTTTCCTTTTGTTTAATTCCTGAAATGAATGCAACTCTAAACAGGGCATGAATGAATGAGTCACCTTCAAGAGTAACTATTTCCTCTGTAGATTAGATGGTCAGTAAAAAGTTGTTCTTCAATGGCACTGAGTATTAGGTTCAAAGAACAGTGCATGCTCACGCACGCGCACACTCACACACACACACGGCTCATTTCTCTTCAGGGATTACATTAGTGGGCTTTTTCATCATTAAAGGAAGTATTTAAAAAACTAGAAATAGTACAGAAGTATCTGCTAGGAAAACAATGATTAAAGTTTAGATGTAAGTATTAACTAAAGAGAGGCTGACAACATTTGGGGGGCAGGAAAGGCCAGGGTCAGACATTTGGGTAAATCCAGAACTCATGATCTATCACACCATCAAATCTACTCATTTTTAGCATCCTGTAAGCTTTATTAAATATCTATTCTGTTCCCTCATACACTTCTGTGCCCCAAGGAAGAGCATCCCACTCGTGTTTAATTTTATAATGTGATGATGACTGGCTCATTGATGGACAGGGCTAAGCCATTTCAGAGCATTAAGGCTAAGGGCCTGGTAGGGAATTCTGGAAAGCGGCTTCATGTAAGACAGTGCCTGTGGATTCCAGCCAGACGACTCCACTGCATACAAATGAAGACACACAAGGCCCCAGCTGCTACTGGCAACCATCCCATGACCACGAGGGTAGCTAGACCTAGGATAATGCCAATCCTGTGGTTGAAAGACAGTGGGGTGGGGGTGGGGTGATCAAAAGTTTCTGGTGGCACTACTGAATCACTGCAAAGACCAAAGAAGGTCATTCTATCAGTAGACTTTATGTAGTGTGATTCAATACATATTTTTATTGTCAGAATTTTAGTTATTTACATCTTAGAGCTAAAGAATGGGTCTACTAAGCATTCTCAATCTGAACCAAGTAGAAATCAGATATGTATCTCCTTTTATACAATAAATCTGAGACTGATTTATCCTATTTTTAAAAAACATCTTTAAATGTTTATATCTTGTTATAGTTTTCAAATACTTAAGCTGATTTTTATTTTTAAATTTTTACTACATTTAGTTCATTTTTTTTACTCAAAGTTCTTGCTGTAGGCTTTGTCTTGAATACGTAAGACCATTTGGCGTGCATAGAAGTCCCTGTATTCCTCTGGTAGTTCAGCCAGTGTTTTCAAAGCTCTGTCCAAGATCTGCACAGCTCTGGATGCTGCTACAGGGTCTTTGTTGCCATAGGTATCTGTTTTGTCATAGCATTCCGATGGAAGGTGCTTCCAAAAGACGTTCACACCCACGCCAAACTCTTCAGAAATTACATTATGGAACCATAAAGCTGTAGGAAGTTTTTTAAAAAAACAAGTTAAAAATAAAACCTCAAGTTAAAAAAAAAAAAAAAAAACAAATGTCAGTGAAATATCACGAATTGCATAGAGCCAGTGTAAGAAACATCCTCTGTAGCAAGCTTGCCGCTTGCCCATCCCTGTTTTCCAGTCACTCTGAACGGCCAGCCAGTTCAGTGACAGAGCACCGCCCTTGTTCTAAACTCCTTAGGAATTTTCATTATTCCCATCTAGCTTGAAAGACATAATAAAGTTGTAATTGCTTTGTGATTCTCCGATTCGGGGCAGCCTTTTGTGTTACACGTTGACGCTTTCTGACTCACACAACCACATCAGAACATGTAGTATCTTTGTACACAGAGCATTTTAATTATTTGAAGACTGTGCCTAGTCCTTTGTGATTCAATACAGTACTTGTTCTCAGAAACTTCCTATTCCAAAGGCAATCTGGTTCCCTAACTTAAGCTAGCACACACTGTAGCTTCAGTTTTTAGGTTTCTAAGCCTCTTAGATCCAGTCTCTGTTTCAGCTCCTTTTCCATAGTCAGGAAAATCTACAGCAAATCCTTCAGTGGTGGTGGTACAGAAGAAACTTGATTATGTTATTTAACTATTTTTTTTCATTTTCACTAGAAAGTTTACTGTTTTCAACTAACATTTTCAAAATGTAAATGCTGGAAGAATATTAAAGAACACCTCAATGTAACAGATGGAATGCTAATCATGCCAGAAGTGTTTAGTCTTATGAAAGGGGGTTAAAATCCTAGAGACACACACTCTAACGGAGTTCATGGAAGAACAATACTTTTATTTATAAAAGTAGTCCTCAATGTTCTTGTTTTAGTTATAAGGTCTTTCAGAATCTTTATTCACTTGTTAATATATCAGAAAAAGCTAACCATTCTGATAATTAACTCAAAACATGGAAATCTTGTTTTGCATTAAAATATATGTAAATACTTAATTTCTAGATAAAATGAATACAGTAAGAGAAAACTACATAGCTCTAATCATGTTCTAAAGACATAAAAACCAAAAACTGAATGTGTACAATGGCAATAGATCAAGATAAAGGAGCAGTTGCTGACAAAGTACAGTACTAGGTCAGTGCATCATGGCTTTGATCAGCTATATGAAGAGCGCTGCCCTTTGAGGAATATAAGATTAGCAAGAATGTGATCCTTGTGCTCAAGGAATTTACAATCTAACCTCAAGTATGTCACCTGATTTTTATTGTTTAGAGATGCTTCAAAAGTTAATTCTATCACTGAATAAAAGTATCAATAGCTTATGAACAAATTTATGAATTACCGCAAATAGAATTACGTAAGTAAAATTGGTCAATAAACCCATTATTTATGATCTTTATAATCTTTTGTTTTGTTTTTGTTTTTGGAGACAGAGTTTCTCTGTGTAACAGCCCTGCCTGTCCTGGGACTTACTCTGTAGACCAGGCTGGCCTCGAACTCACAGAGCTCTGCCTGCGCCTGCCTCCTGAGTGCTGGGATTAAAGGTGTGCCACTACCGCCCAGCTGATCTTTATAATCTTAAGGTATTCACTTAAGTGTTAATAACAGATAATAACTATATCACCATATTACTAACAACATGGAAATTTTATGAGCATCCAAACTAATGCTTATTTACTGAACATAGAAACTATATATAGAAAAAGTTTTCAGATGTTGATATTATATTTTCACATTTAATACAAATCTATAGTCTTAGAAAATTTTGACCATTTCTGAAATGCCTATATACTTTAGAAATAGAACGATTTTTAAAAAACAACTGGGTACAAACTTTCCTCCAATACAAGGTATATTACACTTCGTGTTATTTCGTAAAATAACTTAGAATACTATCTTAACAGGTTATGACAGGAATACATTGAGAATGCATCACTGTGGAACACAGATGGAATGGCCTACTACTAGATGGTACAACCTACTGCAGGGTACATGCTTGTACAGCAGTTTACTGTCCTGAAGACAAGACAGAGGACAGCTGTGCCACAATGTATGCCCAGTATACCTAGACACAAATAAAGACAGAAAACACATTAGTGTGGTCTAGAAACCTTACCAGGAATGAACAGAGCATCACCAGCCTCAAGGAAACACTCATACCTCCTCGCCTTAGCAAAGAGTGGGTATTTATCCAGGTCTGGGCTGTCAATATTCAGCACTTCTGATTTAGAACCTAGAAAGTTTCCAAGAGATATCATACAGAGTGAACCAAGTTTGCATTTTTTAAAAAGTAATCACAAATATAAACTTGAAACTTAATTCTTTTCAATTACTGAATTCACACTGTGAGAACTAACTATTCTTCTGAAACCTAAGGTAATTTTCAATGACCATTCTTTAAACATAACAACTGACATCTATCATCCGTGTAATAAAATAAAATAATCTGAAAAGGGTGTTTTGGAGCCTGTCCTGGAACTCACTCTGTAGCCCAGGCTGGTCTCGAACTCAGAGATCTGCCTTCCCAGTGCTAGGATTAAAGGCAAGCACCACCATGCCTTGCTTTAAAAACGCATTCTTTATACTGCCTACCATCACAACACATATACAATGAGAATACCGGACATAATTAGGAAGAAGTATCCTACAATGTGATCTTCCTATATTGTTTAAAAATAATAGAATAAAATGTAGAAACAAAATTATATCATACCTGATAAATACAAATAGTGTGCATCTCGAGGACTGAACAGTGTAACTCGCTTCTTTCCTGTTACTTGTATTAAAAAGTTATCCATTACCTAAAGATCAATAAGATGTGTAAGCAGTATCTAAAATTCAAATCAACAGAACTAATGGCATTCTAAACAGTTAACTTCAAACCTATTCTGTCCTTTTTTCTTTTGGGGGTGGGGTGGGGTTCACAGGGTCTCATCATGTTGTTCACACTGGCCTTCTAATGCTCCTGCCTCAGCGTCTGAGTAGCTGGGATCACAGGTATGTGTCACTGCATGTTAAACCCTATTCCTCTTGTGAGATCTGACCCACACAAGACTCTTAGAGTTGTAATTCAAACCTAACAATGAAAAGTTTGCACTCCATATACAACTATGTCTTTAAAGATGTTTCTCCCCATATTTCTTACCATGGGAAGGCCCAGCACATGAGGAAAACGTGGAGTAAGAGCGTCAGTGCACCTGAGGTTGCCCTTGGTTAATGTCTATCTTACTAAGTTGTCACGAATGCCCTGGGCCAGACAGAATCCACCATTGCAGCTACTGTTCAACACTGCATACATGTCCACCCACACCATGGTTATGAAAACTGTGATTATCAGACTCTTTGGATAGGACTACGATCAGGCAAATTCCTATAGTAAGCTCTACAATGAATCAATGTTAACTTTCCCTGTGTATACAAAGAGAATCCTCTCTTGGTACAGATTGTGAAAAATGTTAAAAGCCAAAAAGGCACATGATTCAGTTACAGAATAAAGACATACACTGAGCGAGATGTGTGCACGGTCATTCAGGTATCAGTCATCACTACTGACACATTTCTTCTTTTAGCAGTGACCCTTTACTTAGCAAGCACTAACTGTAACTATAACTACTACTCCTCTGACTTTTTCTTAAGTATTATATATTCTATTGTAACTCAAGGTCAAAGTAAACTACTTAAAATTTAAAGCATAATCTATAAAGTTAAAAATCTATGAAGCACATCATTTCTCACCAATCATTCAGATAAAGCTTTGAAAATATGCTAAGATTCCATCTATGTCTCATCTAACTATAGAGTTACTATGTTGAAATCCCCTGTAAATTTTTAAATGTTCTAGAAGAACCACGTACATGGCATAACAGTTTAGTGTGCTGTCATATGTCTGAATTCCTGCCAGCTGGGAGGCAGAGAAAGAAAGATCTAAGGTCAAGTCTAGCCAGGGCTTCAAAACACAACTCCTATTTCAAAAGAGCAAAAACTTTTGGAAATGTAACAGGTATTGCATAGTTTTTTTGTTTCTCCAGCTGCCAATACCAAACTATAAACATCATTTAAAATTAGCTTACTATGCTTACACACATAGTCAGCAAATAAAGCCAATGAGAACACAGAAGCAGGATCAAAGTCTATACATCCTGCTCATCTACAAATCAGCAAACATTTGATGTTCTCAAGGGATACATATCCTCGGGCCTTCAGGTACCCCAAATTCTTATTCTTGCAAGTCATTCCCACAATCTCTACCTTTCCCCTAACTAACAAGTTTGACGGCCAGTCAAATGTTTCATTAAGACACTTTCTACCACACTGTGTTTCCACATTTCCCCCCACCAAGCCATAACTCATTTCCTATCTATAGTCAAGAACCAGACCACAGAGAAACAGAAAAACTAGGTTTTGCTATCTGCTGACTCCATATTACCACTGTCCTACAGATGGCTTATTCTCACGGCTCCATGTTTCAGCCAATGACACCATACAGATCTCTAAAGGGGCCTATAAAGCTCACTCTATGAACATTAGACCCTAAGAGCAATCAATTTCTGAACCTTCACATTTTTTACTTTGTAACCTACATCATAGTGAGTCCAGAGTTGCAATCCAGGTGAACTAATTCGAAAAACACTGGAAAAGAACTGCTCCTCTTCAAAGAATATTGGAAACTTAATATCTCCTCCTAATGATGGAAACTGCTGTCTGATATCTGCAACATCCTGCATTGACAGACATACAAAAAATACTTAGATTCAAAATACTATCTGGAAAGAATTTCAGGAATAAGCAACATTGGCATAACAATTACTGTAAGGCACAGCACCGTGAGCAGTAAGGACGCGAGAGGCAAGTGTTTGTTCAGGGCTTTAAAGCCCAATGACGTGACCAACCACCAAGAGCCCACCCAGTGGTTCTCAACCTGGGGTCACGACTCCTTTGGGGTCATACCAGATATTTACATTACAATTCCTAACAAAATCATAGTAGCAAAATTACAGTCATGAAGTAGCAATGAAAATAATTTTATAGTTGGGGGTAACATGAGGAACTGTTAAAGGGTTACAGCATCAGGAAGGTTGAGAACCACTGCTGTGACCTTTCAAGTGAAGGGTAACAGACTCAAGTACCACTACTGTCATCTTGAACAGACTCACCAACACAGCAAGATTCATATAATTCGTATCCAGTCTAGCCTTATTCATTTGGCTCTGAATACACATAAAGGCTCATCTAATAAGTCTTCAGTAATTTTAGGTAAGTATTTTATTAGCTGAACTACCATCTGTAAAATAGCAATAGGAATTCTTACTGAATAGAAGTTAGATGACTCTAAGATTCTATAGTTTAGAGTAATTAAATAATCAACTTTTAAAGATTCCTCATTCAGGAGCACAAATCATTAAAGAAACAGAAGAGGATGAAATGGGTTATGTATCCAACAATAATAGAAAATTTATAGTGCTAATGTGAAAATGCTCACTGACATTTTAACTAACTGCTTTAAATCCATAATTCTTACCTTCCTCGGGTCTTCTCCAAGTGACCGTAAGTAGTATTTCTCATCCTTAAACACCCCAAAGAAAAACAGCATCAGTAGTCGTTAAAAAATAGTGAGAAATAAGAAATGGAGTAAATCTTAAGATATGGCCTAGTTAAGTCATCTAAAAAGTTCAATTCTCTTACCCTTTCTACTGATGCTCCCTGGTGGCCACATAAAGAAGTGTCGTTATATGATGCTCATGACTAGATCCAGTAAATAAAAGAACTTCTAAAGGCAACGTAAGTAAGTGTGAAGCCACCCGATTAACTGATATTTCAATGTTCAGTTTTAACATCTGATAAATCAATATGAGTCCAAAAACAGACTTAATGCAGCTTTGAAATGAGATAAATAAAACCCTTATCCTTTGGCATATTAAAAAACAAAACGAACAGGGAGGCTGCATTATACCAGACCATGTCTATCCGCAACAACCTGCATTTTCACACCAAATCCTTAAGAGTCAGCTCATGTACGATCTAGAAATGCATCATTTTATGAGAGCAAAATGACATAAGCTATCACTTACACTTCTGACTACCTGAGTAACTAAGAGAACTGATTATGAAACTGTCACCACAGGGCTGGGGGTTGGACTCTGTTCCAACACTGGCCCTGCCTCTGCAACACCTGGAACTCTATTCCCTAGCTCCACAAACAACACAAAACCACCCACTACTGTGTGCATTTCCTAGAACTGAGAACTGAGATCTAGCAGGTCAAGTACAGGCACAATCCAACTCAAGAATTCTGCCTTCCGGAAACCGATACAGACTGTTGTAACATAAACTTTGTATTTTATTTAACCTTAAAATAAACTATTAATCTACACTCATAAATTAATAACTTAATTGTTTTCATACTTTAGTGACACACTGAAATGATTCTTTAAATAGGTTTCAAAGTACGTTCTTCAAAATCTGAACTGTCATTCAGCAGGACACACTACCCAGACTCTTCAGCGAGAAAGGGCTCTCTGCTTATTTACAAAGAGTGCATTTAATTCGGGGCTGTAGCTGTCGATTTCTTCAGGTTCAGCTCAGCATCTGACCCAGGGTTACGTTCTTCACACAGGGCAGACCCAAGCAACAACCAAGGAGGGCAAGCGGCTAGAAGCTGCCACCTGTGCAGAAGTCCTCTGGTGGACTCTGCTCAGGGTTCCGGAGGACTGGGAGACCGCTGGGTGTGTATAGATGTAGCTGATGGCTCCCCCAACACGCACGCACGCACGCACGCACGCATGTATAATTTTCAATTTAACCCTTTGTCTATTTTACTGCACACTTCACTGGCTAGTTAATCTATGCCATTCATTAACTTTTGATGGGAAAAATCCCTAAAAGCAATGAATATACATCCAAAGAATGACTACTAATGCAGGTGGGTTTTAAGAGACATGGTAATCATGGTCAGGCTAGAGGTCAACACTTGCTTCTCGGGATGCCTGTCTACCTTGTTTTCTGAGACAGGCTTACCTATTTGGCTATGCTGGCTGACCAGTGAGTTCAGGATCCTTTTGTCTTCACCTTCCAGCACTAGAATGACTGCAAGCATTGCCAGGATGCCCAGCATCCTCACATGTATGTTGGGGACCACACTTGCGGTCTCGTACTTGCTGTGCAAATACTTTACCAACTGACACACCACTCCAACGCCAACGTAATTAACTTGAAACTGTTATGGGTAAGCCCTACTTAATGCCCTAATCAAGGCATTAAACTGAATTACTCAGAGCTACATTTTAATGTAAGAATACTGCTTTAATTTTGAACAAATGTTACACAGATAAAAGAAACAATACTGATAACAATAAAACATAGAAATTCTAATATAAGATATGAAAATAAAGTTTTCTATTAACATTTGTATTTGGTGTACAACACCAGAGTACTTTCAAAGAGAGTAGCATTAATGATTAATAGCTGATGAGTAGTTCCTGTGTCAGGCACACTACAAGTAATGATTATTTTATTTGGGTAATCTTTATGAAATAAATAGTTTCTAGGCTTCACATAGAAATAAGTATATTTAAGCAAGAATAGTTTGGCCAAGGCTTAGAGCTGATCACGATCAGAGCTACAGCCTGTAGAAGAGCCGCCCAGAGCTGAAGAAAGGTACCAGGACTAGAGCTCTGGGACATGGAGTTTGTAAGATCATTTGTACAAAACAATGTAGTGGTCCTTTACACGAAGTCCATTTAGGGAGGTCTGGGAAGATGGCTCAGTTGATAAAACGCTTGCTGTGTAACCATGAGCATCTGATTTCCACACCCAGCAGCCACATACAAACAGCTGCATGTGGCGGTATACACCTATAATCCCAGTACTGGGGTCAAACACAGGAGACACCCTAGAGCTGGTTGGTCAACCAGCCTTCCAGGTTCCAAGAGATCTTTCCAAGAAAAAAACAGAAAAAAAAAAAAAAAAAGGAAGAGTGTGATTGAGGAAGACATCCAGTGCCAACCTCTGGCCTACACACACATGCACACACACATAAAATCCATTTAGTATATGGCTATTAACAACTTCTAAAAAAAAATTACCTCTGAAATAAAGAATTCTTTATGCGTTTCTTCGGCTGCTCTCTGGACCAGCTTGTTAAATGGTAATGTTCTGCAATAAACATAACAGAATCCTTAGACATAAAAATAACATACCAACTAGTGATACCATCATAATGCACGTAGGCTTGGCACAGTTGAGTGCCATGTGCTTTGAAATATCCAGTTTTTAGTATAATCCATGTGGATGGAATTCTGAATATTCAAAATTCATTTAGCAATACATAAATTTGACCTGTTACCTGAATTTTTAGACTTAAAGATTTTAAATTTATGGTTCAGATGGATCTTCAAAGGTCAATATCCTTCTTTCCAAGTTACTAAGGGAGATGTTTCCATGGTATCAGAGTACTCTGAAAATACAAACTGGGGCTGAAGAGAGTTCAGTGTGTAAGAGCACTTGTTACTCTCGAGGACAATGTGCACTCAGCTCCCAGCTCTCACGTGGGTGGCTCACAACCATCCACAACTCCAGCTTCAGAGGATTCGATGCCCTCTTCTGGCCTCCATGGGCACAGACACACATGCAGTGCACTTACATACAGGCAGGCAACTCAGACACATAAAATCAAAACACAGTTAAAAGAGTAAAGAACACAAACTTTGAGGTTTGACTGCCACCTGTCCTTATGGGCCGTGGCCAAATAACTCTCGTGAAGGGACAGCCACAGTCTCCCACTAGCAATGAAGTGTGACGAGATGACTAGTGAAGACATTCCAGCCCTCGCTCCTGCCTCCTGTGCTCCTCTCACCACTCAGCACAGGAGGCAACAACACTGCTCTCCCCTCCTGCTTTACCTGCCATCGTACGGCTTCTGGAGAAAACGTTTGTTCCCATTACGCCATACTCTCCAGGTTAGAGGGTTACCTTTGCTCTAGTTATCCTAGTACCTTCTAAACCAAAAGCACTTCCTAGATGTAGCTCAGGGACTGAGGGCTTTCAAAGACCTACAGAATATGGCATTTAAAATGTTTTAAAAATTTAGACTTTCTGGACAGTAAGACATGTCTGCTCCTGGTAGCACCGATTTACTTCAGAGAGGAGGATAGGCATCAAAGACACTCTACATGGAGTATGTCTTCTTCTTGGCAAAAATAGCCATTTGGGCAAGAAACTGTTCTTGCCTGGACTGCTTGATCGACTGTACATGCAGGACCTATAGGAAGGTGACCACTGAACTTTGCAAGGTGAGATGGTCCTTCAGGTTCCTGCTTCACTGAGGAAACTGCCAGACATTCTACAGGACACAGAGAAAAGTGACTGAGAGACTCTAGGCCTGTGGGCTGAAGACAGATGCCCCAACTTTACAAAAGAACTTTGGATGACTGTCCAGGCTGCCAGCTGTCTCTGTCTACTCTTGCAAGACTCCCAAAAGTTGCTTGCATCCTTCTCCCATTTCTCAGGTAATTTTATATCCTTCTGAGGTCTTTGATGTAGTTGAAGACTAGATAGTTATAAATTTCCTGTTATGATAAAAGGTAAATTAGATATAAAACCTTAGACTCACAAATATAGTGCTGTGGGATGTTCTGTATGTTAATGTATTGCTCTGATTGGTTAATAAATAAAATACTGATCACCTAGTAGCCAGGAAGGAAGTATAGGCGGAACAAGGAGAGAGAATAATTCTGGAAGGTGGAAGGCTGAGGTGGAGAGACACTGCCAGCCACCGCCATGACAAGAGAGATGTAAGGTACTGGTAAGCCACAAGCCATGTGACCAAGTACAAACTAATAGAAATGGGTTAATTTAAGATATAAGAACAGTCAGCAAGAAGCCTGCCACGGCCATACAGTTTGTAAGCAACATAAGTCTCTGTGTGTTTACTTGGTTGGGTCTGAGCTGCTGCGGGACTGGCAAGTGAGAGAGATTTGTCCTGACCATGGACCAGGCAGAACCAGAAAAACTCCAGCTACAATATAGGATAGATAGGATATCTTCTTTAATATTATAACTGTAGTTCTTGCTTCATAATTGTTTTGTTATATGTAATTTTACTATGTAAAAGTTAAAACCTTCCTTTTTGAAAAAAAAAAAGAAAAGGGAAAGTGCTGTGGATATTACTCTGTATAAATAAAATGCTGATTGGCCAGTAGCCAGGCAGGAAGTACAGGTGGGACAAACAGAGAAGAGAATTCTGGGAACAAGAAGGCTGAGTCAGAGAGACGCTGTCAGCTGCTGCTATGACAATCGAGATGTAAGGTACTAGGTAAGCCACGAACCATGTGGCAACTTACTGACTAATAGATATGGGTTAATTTAAGATATAAGAACAGCTAGCAAGAAGCCTGAGCCATTAGGCCAAACAGTTTAAATAATATAAGCATCTGTGTGTTTATTTTATAAGTGGGGTGTTGGACTGCCGGGGCTTGGCTGGACTCGGAGAGAAAACTCTAGCTACAACAAATAGTTTAACATTTTTAATTTAATTTAAAAAATTATTACATGCATTTATTTGTGTGTGTGGGGGGGGGGTCTGGGTCTGAGTGGGTGTATTAACACCAGGGCATGTGTGTGGAGGTCACAGGACAACTTGCAGAAGTCGGTACTTCTACCATGAGTGTGCAGGGCATCAAACTTAGGTCATCAAAGCCGCAACATGCACTTTATTCCCTGAGCCATCTTATAAGCCCCCAAGTTACTTTTTTTAAACCTTCATTTTCTCATCTGTAAAATCATTACGAACAACATCTATATTACAGACCATCTTATAGTTTAAATGGGAACTATAACCTAGTATTGCCACAGTACCTGAGATACTGTGGCAACAGTGTACCTTTAGCAACATACAAGTAGTTATCATTAAAAACAAAAGACAACCAAATCCCTCAATGCATCGCCTGGTTCTGTTTTTGGAATGGCTGCTTTAGGAGAGCGACACCAGATTTGCTGAGAGGGTAAGAGGAGGATGCGGACAGAACTAGGTGGTGCAGTAAGTAAGTGGAGGCTCCAGAGCTAGGCTTCGGCTTACATGGTGCTCCTGCTGAGAGGAAGGATCAGGAATCATCGAAGCAAACAAGAGAAATGGAAACGCTAATGCTTGTTCAGGGAGGACCTCTAAACATCTGAGAAAGGATAAAAGTAACTCAAACTGAAGTGATTATATATCAATGCATGTGATGTAGCTACAGGATTTCTGATGTTTCAATATCTCTAGATTAAATTCCTTCTTTCCTACTGCTTAGTAAATGCTAAAAAAACAAACAAAAACAAAACCCAAACTATGTCTACTTTTTTCTTTGCACAAAAATAATTTTTCATGTTTTTAGTAGCTCTAGTGAAAGGCTTTGAAGAAGCTGGAATAGAAACTATTACATAATATATGTGTTTTAAAAGCAAGTTCTGAAAAGTTTGAAAGACATGAAAAAACATCCAAACGATTCAAGATGAAGTTTCAATACCCACTTATTATGGCATTAGATTCTGGAAAACAAATGCTATTAACGACAGACTGAAAAACACTCATCCCTCCAGCACTTTCTTCCACTTTTCTGATTGAATAAAGGGTGCAAAGTTCTTACACTTGGAAAAACTTACAAACGGCAATTAAGTTCAATCCGTGGCCTGTGAAGTCACCCAAAACTATACTGGTGACCACTCAACCGGAAACAGGAGTGCTTTGGCACTCACCACACTAGCTTGGAAGGCACTGGAGAGAGGAACGGCCTTACACCAGAAACCCCGTTTAGCTCATCTCTAAACTGAAATCTCCTGTGAATAACAGGGCCTTTTAATAAATTTAATTTGCTGGGAACTGCACATGCTCAGAATGTGAAAGTTGTTTGTTTTTTAATCTAACACTTTTTTGTGACTCTCATGGGAATAAACAGCACATGAGATCTGCAAGATGCCATTTAATGCGTTCAGCTGATGAACCTGCCAGAGACTGCACAGCATATGCAGGCGTGGAAGAAGCTATGGGCGTTCACATGCTACTAAGAAGCTCGGGTTTGACATGCTACTAAAAGGAAGACCGTGCGCACCAGACACAGGCAGTCCTGTGCTTCTTGAGAGGCAGAAACAAACAAACATCAACCTTTCAGACAACGTCCTGCACCAACCAGGCAATGGCGCAGAAATGCGTCAGTAAAGACGGAACACAGCACACTTCAGAGGCAACCTAACTCCAAGAATAGAAATACTCTGTTCCATGACTCCAAAGGATACACAGTGCACCCTATATTTAAAAAATAAGACTGTGGAAATGTCTCTGTACAATTATGTAAACTCAGAATTCTTGTCTTTTAAGCCACTCATTAAAAAGCAGTAAGCTATTCCATGTTACATAAACTAAAGATGAGATGGTCTTATATAATGATGTAAAAATATTTTCAAGGTTTAAAGTTCTTTGTGTCCCCAGAGTAACCTCAGAAGAAAATACCTATACACAAAGTTCTTACTAATGAAGTCCATCTGTGCGACCGCAGCAACGTGAACCTTCACTTCTTTCGACCCCCCAGCTTGGCTCAGGTAATCCACTGTCCATTTGCTTGTACAAGATCCCAAGTCCAGTCCTTCCAACACAAGAGGCTTTCTCTATAAAGAAGGGAAAAACACAACTGTGAAAACAAACACTCCATCAGGAGCCGCCCGGAATCGGAGTGTGGCTTTGAGCTGAGCCTAAGATGCTCCAACTTAAAGCATCCAACAGTCTGTGCTATGACTAAAACATGCAGATTACCTCCATCATACACCTAGAACAAAGCCAAGATTAGGAACACAAAACAGTCTCGTCAACAGATAAAAGAAATTCAAATATTAAAGTATTTTCATGTTATTTATGGCAGAAATTTCTTTAAATTTCACTTCATTTTTGTAGCTTTTAATTTTGATATCACTTTAAGCTTTCTAAAAAATCCAAGAACATAAGAATTTCCATCTGCTCTCTACTTGACTCCCCAATTTTTCAATTTGTAGTCCCATTTGTGTTATCACGGGCTCACACACTCAGTGTTTAGAGACAGACATATTATTAAACCTCATTTTTCTGAACCATTTCAAAGTTAAATTGATAACATGGCCTCATCTCTAAAACTGAAGTAGACTTTCTGAAAACAAGGCTATTCTCTTACAGAGCAATTATCAAAGTTGTATCTCACACTGACACAGTATTCTGTAACCCACCATGCACATTTAAATTTCACTAATTATCCCAATAATTTCCCTTAGAGTTCTTTCCCTGACCCAGAATTCAGGCTGAGATGCCACTCAGATTCAGTGATCACATCTCTTTCCATCTGGAATGGTTCATCAGTTTTCTTTGTCTCCTGACCTTAATATTTCAGCACATAAACCAATTATTTCGTTGGACACCCTCGGATTTGGGTTTATCTAGTTTCTTCATGATTAGATTTTAGGTTATGCAATTTGAGTAAGGAATGTTCCACAGAAGGAATGGAGTGGTCCTCCCAGGCACATCAAGTGGCACGTGATATTCTGCCCTGACATTTACTCAGTCTCTCTGCCTCCGTGTTTACTGGCATAATTTTAACGCTCACATTATCACAGATTTGACTAGTAGGTCTCTTTGGGCTGGCTCCTGTGACTTTTAAAACTAAACATTTCTTTATTTTATAACAAAATAAAACAATCTAATTATCTTTTTCATTCCCCCTGCCCAGACCTGCAACCCACCATTTCTTTAAGAAACCCTGGTTTCTTTTAAGTGGAAACTTTCCTTTTGACATTTTGATTATGTGTATAATTATTATATTTATCTACCCCAAAGGGGCTCTTTTAGCGCTGTATCATAACTTCTGCCTTCTCAATGGTAAGAGTTGAGGAACATGTAAGGACATGTGTGTAACCCCCAAATAGACAAATCTAGACATGCAATTACTTACCTTTACCTCTCACCGTGTATGTACTATGTATACATACACATAAACTTAATGTCCTAGGAATAATGCTTATGTCAAGGTTAAATCTAGTCTTTGTATCTTTGCAACTATTTTTGTTCAACACTGAAAAACTTATTTCCCATCATTGATATTTAATCATCTGAAAAATCCCAGAATTTCCAGCAAACACTTTCTGAACTGCTCGTTAACAGGGTCATAAAACACAAGTCTCCTAGCTTGAACTGCTCAGTCCTTCCATCCTTTAAAGGTAACTCACCCCCAAGTAGGCTCACTTGTTGCTCATTTTCTCTTTCTCTTTCTTTTTTTTTTTTTTTTTTTTGAGACAGGGTTTCTCTGTGTAGCCTTGGTGGTCCTGGAACTCACTCTGTAGACCAGGCTGACCTCAAATTCAGATGGGTCTGCCTCTGCCTCCCAAGTGCTGGGATTAAAGGCGTGTGTCACCACCACCCAGCTATTTCTACTTTAGGAATTTTTTTTAAATCACCTCTCCCTTTTGTTGAGTTTTTTATATTTGTTTTGTTTTGTTTGAGACAGAGTCTCACTATGTAGCCCTGGCTAGCCTAGAACTCACTATGTAGACCAAGCTGGCCACAACTCACAGAAATCCACCTGCCTCTTCCCAGCCTCCTTATTGTTTTTTTAATTATTACCTTAGAATGTAAAATATTAATTGTATTCCCCTCAAAGACAGCTACCTTACCACATCCTTCCAGCTCATCCTCACTCATCCTCTAGAAGCAGTCAATTAATTTCTCTTTTTTCTTCTTCTTCTTCTTTTTTTTTTTTTTTTTCCCAGTTTTTCGAGACAAGGTTTCTCTCTGTACTCTCTGTAGCCCTGGCTGTCCCAGAACTCACTCTATAGACCAGGCTGGCCCCAAACTCAGAGATCGGCCTGCCTCTGCCTCCCAAGTGCTGGGATTAAAGGCATACACCACCAATGCCTGTATTTCTTTTATTCAAAGTGCCCCCAAACACACATTTGATTCCCCCCCAAGACTACATATTTTTTAAAAGTTTAAAAACATATACTTTGAAAATTATTGCTATCAGTTTCCATGTTATTTGTCTGTATAGCTTAGTGTATCAAAGAATAAATGAGTTATAATTTATCTAATTTCCCTCTCATATAAACCTAGTTTACTTCTAATAATTAATAGTATAGTAGAACCCTGTAATATTATCATATATTTAGACAAATATCTGCAAAGTAAAATCCTAAAGAAAAAGTTGTTTGGTTATAATTAAACTCAGGGGGACCCTACCCACAAAGACATGAAGTGGGAGGGAGCCTTGCTGACAAGACAGGTTGCGTCAGGACAGGAGTGAAAACAAACAAAATTCATTACCTCATGTACAAAGCTGTAAGAGAACAACAATACACAAATTTAAAACCTGCTGGATTATAAAGTAAACATGTAGTTTGTGAGCTGTACTAACGGTTGAATCAGCTGGTATAAATCACCTGGCTGTTATTTCAACACACCCTCAGCAAGGGCGAGTTATCAGTGTCTTAATCTCAGGCAAGGTATGTGGTCGGAATTAGTATCTCAGTGCAGGAATGGGCAGCTCTCCTCGGTTCACAGACACAATCGCTGATGACAAACTGCTGTGTTTTTCTGTTGACTCGTTGTGCTCTATCTCAAACAGACTTACTGTGAATGAGGCTAGGTAGAAAGACAGGGAGAATGAAGGACACGGGGAAGGATGGGAGACCCTCACCCTGCAGTCTCAAGTCTCTCACCAGCTGAGAGGTAAGAATTCAGCACTAGACCAGCATGGTGGTGCACACTTTTACTCCCAGCGCTGGGGAGGCAGGGGCTGGTGGTTTTCTGAGTTCGAGGCCAGCCTGGTCCACAGAGTAAGTTCCAGGACAGTCCTGGGTACACAGAGAAACTATGTCTTGAAACCCCCCACCAAAAAAATTCCAGCACAATTAACAAAATTTGCTGGGAGATTGCCTACATGGAGACAATGTTCCTTTTTATAAGGAAATACTTCAAGTAAAAAATATTATAGCAACAAATCATGTCTAAGGCCAAAGCATATATAACCAAGTATGGCTTTTCTCCTTTCCCGAACCTGTAAACCTGCTATTTTCTAAGATTCTCATGAGCAAGACTAAAACTCCACTTGCAGTAAAGGGCAGGTCTTAATCTCTTTGTGCAACCTTAGTGACCCACGGTTTTATCCGATAAAACTGTAATATTATCCAAAGCATTTCTCTATTGAAGCATGGCCTTAAAAACTCTTAGTAAACTCTGCCTCCTATTTACTTGATCAGAAATTCTTATCTGTAGTGCACTCAGGAATTCTGTCTTCTGAGCAGAGAGCTCTCAAAGGTCTCCAGGCTGCACTAGAGGCGTGGAATAAGTAGCTGTATTTCCAGATCCCACCCCACTGCCACTAACACAACCTTAGAGACCTTTTCCCTTCCAAGATTCCTTCCTGTTTGTCCTGAAACTTGGACTATCTTGCAAAGTCCTGAAAGCAAACTTTTTTTTCTTTTTTAAAACCTACTTTCTGCTAGCTTTTTTTTTTTCCTTAAAAAACTAAAGGGTTTATAATGCCTTAATTACGGTCCAAGTTAAAAATCAAAGACCTGTACCAGAGGAAACGCACGGGAAGGTAGATTCCCACTGGTTTCCATGTAGTAATCTCTCATCGGACTAAAATGTTGCGCTTCAAAAATTCATTTCTCCGAATAGACAGGGACTGCGAGGACCAAGGCGGGGGTGGGAGGGTGTGTGTGTGTGGGGGGGGGGGAGCCTGTACTAAATTTTAGGAGACCCCGTGGAAGAGGCGCACGCGAGGCCACAACAGCCACACTCGTCATTTTAACAGGACCCTCCCTCCAAGGCCGCTCATCTCAGAGCTTCGGCAAAATGCTTCACGCCACCCGGCTTTCTGGGGTCATCCTGCTCCCCAGACACGAGGGGCCGTTTTCTCCAGGGCTTGGAATCCCCCAAGCCGGTCCGCAGGTCCCTTCCGCCCTGTCCGCGGGCGGCAAACCACATGGGGTGCAGCGGCTGTCCGCCGCCGTCTCTTCCCCTGACACTCCGGGTCGCAAGAAAACCGACGGGAGCTCCAGGAGGTTCCGGGGTGTCCCCCCCTCCGGCTTCCCGCGGCGGGGCTCCTCACCTGCGGGTAGAGATGCTCCATGAACTGCTCCCGCGAGACGCCCCGAAGCCGGGGCACCGGAAGGCGCTGCTCCGCCATGCCGGGCTCGGGTTAGTTTGCACGGGGCCTGGGAACCGGGACGTGTCCGTCACGGCCGGATCCTCCCGTCAACACACAACCCCAGAAGAAAAGGGCCGCGAAGGGGGACGGACGCCAGAGGGGCGGCTGGCTCGAAGCGCGGGGCGGGGAGGCCGAGGCCGGCTGCCTGGGCGGCGTGTGGCACAGGCGCGATGGGCGGACCCACCAGAGGTGGCAGCAGCAGGCGGCCGTGGCTCCGCGTCCCCGGCGCCGCCGCGCTGGTTTCCCTCCGGCCTCCTTTCGCTACCGCACAGTTATGCGGAGGTGAAAGGTCACCAACATGGCGCTGGCCGCCCGTCTTCTGCCTCTGCCCCTGCTTTCTCGGCCGCTGCCCGGCCGGGCCACCCGACTCCGGACTTTGGGTGCCACCGAGGTGAGGCTGTCGCTGGCTGAGTGTTGCTGCTTGTGCCGCCGCCGCTGCCTGGGCTCCAGCGCGGTCCCGGTCCCTCGCTGCACTTGGGCCTGGGCGACCCCGGCGCTGCATTCCCGGGGCCCCCGGCGGCCCCTGCTCGGCCGGGCAGAACTTCTTCCAGCCCTCGCTTCCTTCCCCGCTGGTCCCAGCCGCAGCTACAGCACCGAGGAGCAGCCCCAGCAACGGCAGAAGACCAGAATGATCATTCTGGGCTTCTCCAACCCCATCAACTGGGTCCGGACTCGAATTTACGCCTTCCTTATCTGGGCCTATTTCGACAAGGAGTTCAGCATCGCTGAGTTCTCTGAGGGGGCGAAGCAGGTTGGTTTGGCTTCTCTAACCTGGTCGCCTCGTGCGTGTCAGCTCTCACATGCCCGGGTGTTAAGCAGTGAGGTTCTTCATTACGATCCAAGTTACCAAACGATGGTAGCGACGCAGACAAGCATAGAGCTAGCTGTGTTTGCGTGACCGGCAAGAAGGAGGGATTCAATTAAGACACCAGGGTGACGGTGGCCTCCCAGTATTTTTCACTTCAGGCTTTGAATCGGAGTAAGCTCAAAGCCTGTTTGTTCCTGCCACTTGAAAGCTGTGTAGCCTTTTCCTGGGTATGATTGTGTCTCTTCCCCCCCCCCCCCCCCCGAATTAGAAAGTCAGAGAAGACAGAGCCTAGCACACAGAGTAGGCACTTCGTAAGTATTTGTGAATCTCAGTGGAGAAGGTATGGTGAGGAATAAGATAACACTGCCGGAGTACTATGATATCATTTTAGGTATGAGCTCTCTGACAGAGCTGTATTGTCATCCTCCTCCTCTACCTACAGCTTCCTTCAAGGATCATGAGGCTGGAGATGGGACTGAGCAATTGTACCCTTTCAAAGAGTTTGCTGAGGCTGCTGGTCTGCTAAGTGCCCAGACCCAGCAAACTGGAATGCTCGGGCATTTGTGATTCCTCGCTCTGGCTTTGCCAGTCATGACCTTACTGAAGGACAAATGATATCACCTTAGAGTGGTCGCTTTGAATCCGGAGATTATTTACAGACTTTGTGTGTCCATATATCTTTCTAAGATGGAAGGCTATTTTAATTTTCCCTGTCAATCCCTAGTATTTCAGAACTATTGACTGAAACAAAGGTATAAGTCATAGTTTATTCCCCAGCTCATATCACCGAAGACCATCAGCGTAATAATTTAATAACATTGACTATAATTAACTACATGCTGATATTTATAATTTTACTCCTGGCTTATTTCAGATTTTTTTCCCAAATTGTAGTCATTTATACCCAACTCATGTGATATATTAGTTATAAATTAGTGTTTTCAACTTCATATAATCAAGTGTCACTATTAACTCCGGTTTCCTTGAGTCAACTCTTGGCTAGTACATGTGTTTTCACAAAAATATGGGCTGGAGAGATGGCTTGGCAGTTAAGAGCACTGGCTGCTCTTCCAGAGGTCCTGAGTTCAATTCCCAGCAACCACATGGTGGTTCACAACCATCTGTAATGAGATCTGTTGTCCTCTTCTGGCCTGCAGGCAGAACACTGTATACATAATAAATAAATAAATCTTTTTTTTTTTTTTTTTGAAAGAAGCAAGCTTGAGTAATCATGCCTACCTCAGTGTCATGATGAAGGGTCAATTTACTGCTGGTAGTTCTCTGTGTCAGCTGTGCTTGTAGAGATCAAGTGGTGTGATCCTACACTCTGCAGTACCCGTGTGTGAGTCTACCTTATCATCCGTACATGACTACACTGCTTTATTTATGTGTCAGGAATGGAAATCATATCACATGCAATTGAAAGGGCCTCTTATCTAATCCTCTTTTAGACGTGATGAAGTCAAGTTTTAAAAGGTTAAATTTTAGTGTTCTAGTAACCACAAAAAGTAGCCTTGGTGCTGGAGAGAGAGCTCAGTGGTTAAAGAACACAGGCTACTCTTCCAGAGGTCCTAGGTTCCGTCCCCAGAACCCATATGGCAGCACATAACTGTCTGCAGTTCTCGGTCCAGGGAATCTCACCCTGTCTTCTGGCCTCAGGAGGTACACTATGCTCATGTGGTACCCAGACACATTCTGGCAAAACACTTATAAAATAAGAAATAAATTCCTAATAATAAAAGCGGCCTTGGTCCTCCAGAGTCACCAGCAGTTGAAATGGGTACAGATAATTTAGGCAAATATTTATCATGACATAAGGACATACATAATCTAATGCACTCACTTCCATCAGTATGTATGTATCTTCTTAACTACCCTTGAGCCATGCACTGTTTCTTAGTCTTAGAGCTTTCTTGTCAGCTGTTCAGCATTTTCTGTGAAAAAAGAAGGCTGTTTCCAGAAGTGTCTTGAGGTAGACATTCCTATGTCACTGCAATCCTACCAGGGTGGCCTCATGATGATTACTTTTCAGGGTAACTTTCTCAGGTATGATCTCAACCACACAAACTAGAGATGCAGTTTCTGCATAGTGATTACAGTTCCTGTCCAGATTGCCGCTCCTATTGCATGTGAGAGCTCACCACACGTTATAAGATCTCTGACCCTGAGCACCTCCTTAAGTGTTTAGGGAGACCTGGAATCCATTTGTAGATGCGCATCCTCTCAAAAGCCATCTGCCCTGTATTGTAGTCGTGTGCCAGGTGTCAGAGCAGAGGCCGCAGATTGAATAGCTTAAACACAAGTACTTGAGTATCTAGGTATCGAAGCTTCGCTTCCTCCTGAGGCCTCTGCATTTGTTTCTGTCCGGCATCTCTACTGCCGTAAAGGTGCCAGTGGTCCTGCATTAGGACCTGCACTAACCACCTCATTTTTATCTAATCGCTTCTTTAAAGGGGCGTCTCCAAATGGAATCTCATTCCACAGCTGTGTCGGGCTTTAACATAAGCACGACAGAGAGGTCAGCTGAGCAGTGACTTGCAGTGTTCTCTGTCTGACATGCCTGTGCGTATCCTTTCTCCTGCCAGTTCTTCAGATCTCAGCTACTCCCTTTAGGGAACC